CTCTGGTTGTACTGGTCCATTTAGTTTTCTTGGCAAGGATACTGGAGTGGTTTGCCATTGCCTTCCCCAGGGATCACGCTTGGTCTGACCTCTCTGCCACAACCGTCCCGTCTTGGGTGTCCCTTCACGGTTTCGCTCATGACATCATTGAGGTGCTCAAGCTCCAGCGCCCCGACAAGGCGGTGATCCTTTGCTGGAGGACTGATTGATAACTGGCAAATAAAGGGAGAAAACATGGAGGCAGTGACAAACTTCGTATTCCTAGGTGCAAAGATTACTGTAGACACAGACTGCAGCCAGAGAATCAGAAGACATTTACTTCTTGGAAGGAGAGCAATGCTTACTTACTTAGGTGATCCCTCGTTGGACGAGTAAGATGGTCTTCCATTATGGATTTCCTTGTGGGTCCGTATGTGGCTGTGGAGCCCTATTCTTGCTCTGCATCTTCTTCCGCAGTGAGGGCATTGGTTTCCAGGTGGAACGCGGTCCCGGTCCTCCTGGCACGTTTCTCTCTTTCACCCTCCACTAGTGCCTCCTCAAATTCTGCAGCACTGCTGGTCACAGCTGACCTCCAGCTGGAGCGCTCAAGGGCCAGGGCTTCCCAGTTCTCAGTGTCTATGCCAGAGTTTTTAAGGTTGGCTTTGAGCCCATCTTTAAATCTCTTTTCCTGTCCACCAACGTTCCGTTTCCGTTCTTAAGTTCGGAGTAGAGCAACTGCTTTGGGAGACGGTGGTCAGGCATCCGGACAACGTGGCCGGCCCAGCGGAGTTGATGTTGGAGGACCATCGCTTCAATGCTGGTGGTCTTTGCTTCTTCCAGCACACTGACGTTTGTCCGCTTGTCTTCCCAGGAGATTTGCAGGATTTTCCGGAGGCAGCGCTGATGAATCGTTCCAGGAGCTGCATGTGACGTCTGTAGACAGTCCACGTCTCACAGGCATATAGCAGGGTTGGGAGGACAATAGCTTTATAGACAAGCACCTTGGTATCCCTACGGATGTCCCGGTCCTCAAACACTCTCTGCTTCATTCGGGAAAATGCTGCACTTGCAGCGCTCAGGTGTTGTATTTCGGTGTCGATGTTGACTTTGGTGGAGAGGTGGCTGCCAAAGGAGCGGAAATGGTCAACATTTTCTAATGTTACACCATTAAGCTGTATTACTGGCATTGGAGAGGGATTGGCTGGCGACTGCTGGAACAGCACCTTGGTTTTCTCAATGTTCAGTGACAGGCCGAGCTTCTCATATGCTTCTGCGAAGGTGTTTAGAGTGGCTTGTAGATCTTCTTCTGAATGTGCACAGATGATATTGTCATCATCATATTGGAGTTCTATAACAGATGTTGTGAACTTGGTTTTGGCTTTCAGTCTGGTGAGGTTAAATAGCTTGCCATGTGTCAGAGAAATGATTTCCACTCCGGTGGGAAGCTTTCCATCAACAGATGAAGTATCATAGCGATGAAAATGGAAAATAAGGTTGGGGCAAAAACACATCTCAGTTTGACACCTTGGATTCCACCTTAAATGGGTCACTTTGGGAGCCACTGCTGTCCAAAACCGTTGCCATCATGTCATCATGGAGGGGCCGCAGGATGTTCACAAATTTGTTAGGGCACCTGATTTTTTTGAAGGATGGTCCAGAGAGCGCTGCAATTCACTGTGTCGAATGCCTTTGCAAGGTCGATGAATGCCATGTACAGAGGTTGATTTTGTTACCTCCATTTTTCTTGGAGCTGTCGTGCAGTGAAGATCATGTCCATTGTTCCTCTGGAGGGGTGGAAGCCGTTCTAAGATTCTGGGAGGGTGTCTTCTGAGAGGGGTAGAAGGCGGTTTGCAAGGATTCTTGCGAGGATTTTCCCAGCGGAGGTTAGAAGGGAGATACCTCGATAGTTTCCGCAGTCTGTTCTTTCCCTTTTTTGAAGAGGGTGATGATGGTGGCATCCTTGAAGTCTGCTGGGATTTTCTCGGTCACCCACACTTTTTCTATGAGCTGGTGGAGTTGGTGTGTCGGCTCAGGTCCTCCCTCTTTAAAGATTTCAGCAGGGATCCCATCTGGTCCACTGGCTTTGTTATTCTTCTGTTGGCTGATGGCATTGCTGACTTCTTCCAAACTAGGCAGTGCTGCAAGCTCATCCCTGGTTTGTTGTTGCGGGATTTGTGAGAGGGCCTCTTCGGCCACATTGGAGCTGCGGTTCAGGAGGCTTTGGTAGTGTTCTTTCCAACGTAGTGCAATTGAGTTTTGGTCCTTCAGGAGTTTGGTTCCATCTGATGAGCGTAGAGGCTGTATGCCATGGTTTCTTGGTCCATAGATGACCTTTGTGGCTTTGAAAAATCCCTGAGCATTATGGGTATCTGCCAGGTGTTGGATTTCTTCAGCCTTCTTTGTCCACCAGATGTTCTTGAGTTCTCTTGTCCTTCTTTGGACCTCAGCTTTTGCACTGGCGTAGATCTTTTTCTTAGCAACAGTTGATGTCTCTCTGCCATGCTTGGAAGGCTTTCCTTTTCTTGTCAATTAGCTGTTGGATCTCGATGTCATTTTCATCAAACCAGTCTTGATGTTTCTTGGCTTGGTATCCAATAGTTTCTTCACAGGCTTGAATGATGGAGGTCTTCAGTTTGTTCCAATGTTCCTAAACATTTTCGGGGTGTACTGTGGGTAGATGGTCCTTGAGTGCTGTTTGGAGATGGGCTCGTCTGGAGGGCTCCTGAAGGGCTTGGGTGTTCATTTTGCGCCTTGCCTTCCTTCCTTGGAGTCTGCGCTTGGGAGCGATCTTGATAGCCATCGAGGATCGAATTAGCCTGTGGTCAGTCCAGCAGTCGTCAGCACCTGTCATGGCTCTTGTGAGGAGCACGTCCCGGCGGTCTCTGGCGCGTGTGATTACATAGTCTAAGAGGTGCCAATGCTTTGACCGGGGGTGCTTCCATGATGTCTTGAACTTGTTTTTCTGGCGGAAGAGCGTGTTGGTGATGACAAGGTTGTGCTCCGCACATTTGGTGAGAAGCAGGATGCCATTTGAGTTGCTGTTTCCAACCCCGTCTTTTCCTATGGTCCCTGGCCACAGGTCGAAGTCTCGCCCGACTCTTGTATTGAAGTCCCCCAGGAGGATGATTTTGTCCTCCTTAGGTATCCCCGATAGGACGGTGTCCAGCTGACAGTAGAATTTCTCCTTGATGTCTTCATCAGCATCTAGTGTTGGTGCATAGGCACTTATGATGGTTGCCCGTTGGTTTTTGGCAAGATCAATTCGGAGGGTTGAGAGTCGTTCGTTGATGCCAGTGGGTGCTTCGGTCAGATGTTTCATCAGATCATTTCTGATGGAGAAGCCAACTCCGTGCATTCTTTGGTCTTTTTCGGGCAGTCCCTTCCAGAAGAAGGTGTAGCCTCCTTTTTCTTCTTTCAGCTGTCCCTCTCCTGCTCTCCGGGTCTCCTGAAGGGCTGCTATGTCGATGTTGAAGCGTCCCAGCTCCCTTGCAATGATGGCAGTTCTGCGTTCGGGGCGTTCACTGCCACTGTTGTCCATCAGAGTCCGTACGTTCCACGTACCAAAGTTCATTTTCCTTTTTTGGCCGCAGGGTGGTGACCCCACTGGACGCGGCAGTCCAGTCAGGGATAAGAGAGGCAGACTATGTTTAGGGCACTTTTTCTAGCCCCCTGCCCGTGTGGGGTGAGCAGAGTGGGTCTTCAAAAGGGCTGCTCAGTCGCGGATACAGCTGCCGAACTACTCAACTGCCTCGGACCTTGAGGTAGAACGACTGAGTCCGTACCCACCGCCCATGTGCCAGTCTGTGACTAGGGGCTTCCAGATTTCACAGTCCTGCCCCCGTCGCCACTCGCTGTTCGCCATGGGGCTTTGGTTGGTTTGTTTTTATTTTCTTTGGAAGACGCCAGTGCGTGGGTTTTTTTAATGTGTGGAGGTCAGTGCACAACTGATCGACACACAGACTTCACAGAGTGAGGTTCCACTGGTGATGTAGTTTAACACAATGGTCCGTAGATGACCTTTGACCAATGAGAGCAATGACCAATCTCAATAAAACAGTGAAGAGTAGAGACATGACAATGGCAATGAAGATCCGCATAGTTAAAGCAATGATATTCCTTGTAGTAACTTATAGATGTGAGAGCTGGACCGTAAGGAAGGCTGAGCGAAGGAAGATAGGTGCTTTTGAACTGTGGTGCTGGAGGAAAATTCTGAGTGCCTTGGACCGCAGGAAGATCCAACCAGTACATACTTCAGGAAATAATGCTTGACTGCTCACTGGAGGGAAGGATAGTAGAGGCAAAGATGAAGTATTTTGGTCACATAATGAGAAGACAGGAAATCTTGGAGAAGATATTGATGCTGGGGAAAATGGAAGGAAAAAGGAAGAGGGGCAGACCAAGGGCAAAATGGATGGATGGTCTCCTTGAAGTGACTGGCTTGACCTTGAAGGAGCTGGGGGTAGCCACGGCCGACAGGGAGCTCTGGCATGGGCAGGTCCATGGGATCATGAAGAGTCGGAAGCTACTTAATGAATAAATAACAACATAGCTATAGTCAATATTTAAAGAGTTTTCATTCTGATCATTTCAAGGATATCATGTGGTTTCTTGGTGAGTCATTCCTAGAATTTGCATATGAGGTATATATATTAAACAAATGCCATATAATTTCAAAAGCTTCTTCAACTGTTTTGATTCTGACGAGGTTATAATTTTAAAAAATTATTCTTGCTGCAGATCTAAATGAAACTTCTGCCTGATATATATGTATTAATCAAAATATCTAGTTCAATGGGTTATCAATTATTGTTGACACAAGCATGCTCTCAAACTTGTTATATGCTTTTGGTCCTGGTCTTATTATAATTGTAGTTTTGTTATTCCTTTAGTTTACCAGTCTGAGTTGCAAACTTACAAAAAACACATCCAGTCTGCCAAAAACATGTTGTGTGTATTTTTCAGCATTACATAATCTTTTCTTTCCTGCTTAAGTGATTCCGTTGAATTTTTCTTTGTTTCAGTTTCTATAGTAATGGGAATCCCTACAGTAAAGAGAAAAGTAAAATCTTACCTTACGGAAACACTTCACTCACTGATTGATAAGCTTACACCAGAAGAGAAGCTAGATACGGTTATGATCGTCTTCATAGGAGAGGTAATCTAATTATATGTTTTCTGGTTGCTCACAGTGTACTTCTAATAGATGTATCTAGTGTTGAGATTAACCTGATAATCTTTGACAATTTCAGTTTATTAATATGTTTCCTCAATACATTTCTTTAAGAACTCATTAAATATTTCAGTCATTAAAGTGAAAATTAGCCATTTCAAAACTCTTTTTCATATCCTTTTCTCATTTGATAAGTAGACTGTTGAGAAGGAGCCTCTTATAAAGGTAACTTAGTTCTCTGAAACTTTCAGGAACATTTTCTTAATTCTGTCCCATCAGATTAAAGCAGAATAATCCATTAGACTTCAGATTTATCAGTTCAAAAGAGTGTTGGACCTCTGCCTAAAACTCATGTATGGACCTTGCAGCATGAGCAAGTTGCCAGCTCTGCTCTGTCTGGATTTAGTAAGACTCACAGGCAAAAAGTGGCTGGCTTTGTAAAGAGCCAAATTTTGGTGGCAGCAAAAAACATTCCCTACTTGCTCCTTGCTATCTTCTTCAAACCCAAGGCTGCACACTACATAGATTAAAACAAAATGCAAATTAAAAAAATCTCTGATTATAATAAAAATGGTTAATCACCCCCTAATAAACTGTTCTATTTAAAATCTTCTATTTTTTTTAATTGTGTCAGAAGTGAATTGAGAATATACTGCAAGTCACTTCTGGTGTAAGAGAATTGGCTGTCTGCAAGGACATTGCCCAGGGTATGCCCGGATGTTTTAAGATCCTGCGGGAGACTTCTCTCATGGCCCCACATGGGAAGCTGGGGCTGAGAGATGGGAGCTCATCTGGTCTTGTTTTTTGAACTGCCGACCTTTAATTCTTCAGGTCAGCAGTTCAGTCGGCACAAGGGTTTAACCCATTGTGCCACCATGGCTCCCATCTTCTAAAATGTAACTATGGAGACAAATGTACACTTTATTTTTTTAAAGTAGTTTTTATTAAAATATTATAGAATTACAGTGAAAGAGGGTGAATATTTAAAAGAAGATAGAACAGTAGGAAATAATAAATGTATAAAGAAAGAAGGAGAAGAAGAAAAAACCACCCACCCACAGTTCAAAAAAAGAGGAAAAAAATGTACACTTTATTAAATTAAATAATAAGGAAGCAATTAGAGTGAGCAACATAGAGTCCAAAAGTACATTTGGTTCCAAGTATTATGTTTCCTTACTCAATGATCCACTTAGTTCATGGATATTTTGCTCTGTTTCTGGAGAATGTCACATTTGCATATCCGTCACATTTGGCAGTAACATTTTTCCCAATTACATACTGCAAATTAAACTATAAAATGGTAGTGATAAAGAGAGCAAGGAGAAAAGTCGTAAAGTCTTGTTTTGAGCTATTTACTCTGATGTGTACATCATTTCCTACACATCCCAGAATGTGGTGGGACAGACTAGGCTGAAAGGACTGAAATGACCGCCAGTTGAATTTCAGTTGTACTGCAAAAACAGTCCAATTTGCTGTGCCTTTTTGGACCATATAGATTCATAATGGTGAGGACTGAAAAAGATCGCTTAAACAAACTTCACTAAAAGTATAAAAGTGCTTCTCTGTCAGATGGCTGGAACTGCACAAAATGAGTATTGTGGGCTGTTTTTACCATTTGGAAAAATATATGATGTTTGCTCACCAAGGCAGACAGCTCTGCAAATACATGGTTTGGCTTGTGAAGTGAGTTTGCAAATGGCTTCTTTAATAACAGAAGTGACTATATACATTGAGCGGGGAGTGGAAAGTGAGTTAGCATGGGAGTCATGTAAACTTGTGTTTAACACAATCTTCCATGCAAAAGAGAAGCTTTTTGTAAAGTTAAATCAGAGCAGTCACTCTTTAAATGAAATTCTTTCAAACCTAATAGATGGCGGTTAATTACAATTAATCTCTTTTCATTCCTAATTCCATCAGTTTCCTCAGACTTGCACTTCTGCTTTAGGACTCAGTGGAGTGCCATTAGTACCTAGAGAAAATATGTGTTTCATTCATGGGATATTGTGTTGTTTTGTTTTAAGTTGGTTCACAGTTGCTCAGGTGGAACAGTTATCTTTTGACTTACACAAGCTGGCACAATCATTATTGTTGATTTGGTGGTCATCTTAAATTTGTCACTATTTTTAGATGAAGAGAGGAGGGTTTTTGTACTGAGAAGTTGCCAAGAGACTTCCCCCCCCCCCCTTCCTTAGTTCTCCTTATCAACCACTTGCATGAACAGAAGCCTCATTAGATTAAAACTATATTATGCAGTTCAGGATCACCTGCTTTTTGAATCTTAAGTGACTGTGTACTGCTCTGATCTTGACTAATTTTCCAGCTTATTCCTTCAGTCATAGTAAATCAAGAACATGCGAGTGAGAGGTGAACTGAAAGATGTATTGTCGAAGGCTTTCATGGCCAGAATCACTGGGTAGTTATGAGTTTGTATGGCCATACAGTCCGGAAAACTCACAACAACCTGGTGAACTGAAATGAGAACCACCACTTAATGTTCCCTAGCAACATAAAGAGTATCCCTCTGGGCAGCTAAACCAGGAAATCCCAGCTGGATGGCCCCCCACGGGGTTCTGCCTCCAGGGGCAAATCAAGAATGGACAACTTGGAAGTCCCTGAACAGACTCAGCAGTAGAATGGGAAGATCAAAAGACAACCTGGCAAAATGGTGCTACCTAAAATAGTGGTTCTCAACCTGTGGGTCCCCAGATGTTTTGGCCTTCAACTCCCAGAAATCTTAACAGCTGGTAAACTGGCTGGGATTTCTGGGAGTTTTTGGCCAAAACACCTGGGGACCCACAGGTTGAGAACCACTGACCTAGAAGAATCCTCCACCATGTGCGGCTGTGGAGCAGAACAAACAACTTAGCATCTGTATGCTTGCCCACAATGCCCTGCCTCATGCACAGAGGAAGAATCATTTAAAGCTATAGACAATGTGGTAGCTGTTGCCCGTTTTTGGTCTAAAATTATTTAGCCGCTTGTGTTCCATCTATTGTATTAATTTTATATTAATTTATTTATGCAATGCTCTTTACATGAAATAAATAAATAAATACATTATGGCATAGCTACCTTGAATCAATTCCTGAATAATAACTCAAAACTTACAGTGATTTAGTAGGGATACTCTAATTGAAGGCAGCAAATGGATCAGGTATTTGAGTCCGAAATTCAATTGTTTGTCTTAACCAGGTTTAATCCATTGAATTGGTTGCTAAATAGTAAATCAGCACATATGTAAATCCCATTGATCCAGTTTGTCTATTCTACTTAGAAATAAAAAATCAATTTACTGTAAACCCTACTGTTCATAGGATTCCCCTGAAAGATACCTGAGCGCATATACAGATGGTCAATGTACATAGTGCAGCAGGGGATAAGAGATTAATAACATAGGCCTGTAGTACTCTAGGAGTCGTCTACACATAATTGAGTGGAGAAGAAGATCAGTTCAGGTTATGGAATTCTAAATTAAGGAGCATAAGCTGTCCTCCTCTCTGCTTTCCTTCTGCCTGTGGGTAAAGGGATTTCTATTTAGATAGGCTTTTTGGTGATTAAAAAACGCTTCTTGACAAATTTGCTTCACCCTGTTGTCACGCTTGTAGTCCTTCTTCATGCCCTTCATAGGGTTCCCTATACCTCCCATAGATGTTGCAATGTGTGCAGGGTTCTGCTTTGGAGAGAGGGAGGGCCCTTCCATATAGCCAGATGAGCCAGAATATCAAGGCAGAAAATCCCACAATATCTGCTTTGAACTTATTTATCTGAGTCCACACAGCCATATATTCCAGTTCAAAGCAGATAATGTGGGATTTTATTCAGCTGTGTGAAAGGGGCTCCTCCTTCAAATTTTGCTGATCAAAGAAGGGTCATTGGTAAAACAACCCAATTGCATTTTGACCTGTCTTACCATAGGGATGCTTGTTTTCTTGTTATGGTGATTGTTTTGGATGAACAGGGTGTAAGAACCCTATAGTTACTTGTAGCTGGGTAAGTACAACTTAAACCTATCTTCCTGTCTTTTTTTCCAGACAGATCTTGACTATGTAAATGGTGTCGTGGCAAGCCTAGAAAAAGAGTAAGTTGATTCTAGACAATTTGTCTACATTTTACTGCATTTTTGAACTTCAGGAATAAATAGTTTACATATATACAATGGTTCTTAATATCGCACACTGCCTAGTGCAATTAAATGAGATATCTTATAAAATGGCAAATGGGATTAAGACACTCGGATGGACATAAATGGATTATGTTGGCATGAAATAAGTGGATTGCTCAGCATATACATGAAAGCTACTGTGCAAAGTGCTGCAGTATAGAAGTCCCCAAGTACTTAAGATGTTAATGCGCATTGTGTCTTAATTATAGGTGATGACTTGGGAATTATGCCAGGGCCCAAGGGAATGTGTCAACATTTCTGCTTTTACAAATAGCTCAGTTAATACTTACTATTGGTTGGTGACACTTATCCTGTGCAGTCCATTTTCAAGGGATATGAGGAGCTCTTATGGGACAGGGAAATCAGTTTTGGTGTACAAACAGAAAATGTTGTTTTGGAATGCAGCCTTTGTTTAAGGCTTGGAAAAGTTACATTTTCTGGAACCAGCCTCTCAGAATCCCCTGGTATTTATGGCCATGTGAGCTGGTGGCTTTAGAGAGCTGTAGTATAAAAATTAACTTTTTATAGTGCTACGTTTTTAATCATTACTAGCATTAGCCCTTAGGCTGAGATATATAAACTTGTCCAGTACTTTCCTCGAGCCACGAGGAGAGGCGGGTAAGAAATAAAATTATTATTATTATTATTATGAACTTCAAGACTCAGTTGAGATTTTAATCCATTTTCAATGTTCAGTCTATTTCCTCCTATAGGTGTTAGGAATTTAGTGTCCCCTAGAACATGCAATAATCAACTTGGCTTTTGTGTTTATAGGTTTTCTACAGAAATCAGCTCTGGCTTGGTGGAAGTAATAGCCCCACCTGCATCCTACTATCCTGATTTGACAAATCTCAAAGAGACTTTTGGAGATTCAAAAGAAAGAGTCAGGTAAGGTACTTTCCCCATTTCTGTTCATAAAGGCACCTAGAGCTTGTGAAAGTTTCYYCCCCCCCTCAACTACAGTTCACAAAGGCTGGCTGGACAATTCTGAGAGCTATAGTTCAAGGCACCAAGCAGGTGTGCCTTCAAGTTGCCTSTTGACTTATGGTGTCCCTATGCATTTCACAGGGTTTTCTTTGCTAAAGAATACTCATAGGTGGTTTTTCCAGTTTCTTCCTCTAAAATAGAGCCCACAGCTCCTAGAGTTAACTAATTGCACATGCTATTATTCAGGAAGATTTTAAAACAATCATCCTGAGTCCTGGGATACATTCAGGCACTTTGTCATGCCTTATGTAGATGAAACTGAAGGTCATTCCTCCCTAGACCAGGCATGGGCAAATTTTGACCCTCCATGYGTTTTGGACTCCAACTCCCACAATTCCTAACAGCTAGTAGGCTATTAGGAATTGTGGGAGTTGAAGTCCAAAACACCTGGAGGGCTGAAGTTTGCCCATGCCTGGTCTAGACACTTTTATTTGGCTCTTGTCCTTTAGCTTTTCTTTGATATTGCCATTAGTCAAATTTGTAGTCTGTGAACTGCTAGCGCTGCTTTGCTTTGCTTCTACCAACATTTGTATGTGAAAATGTGAATATGTTTTATCTGCTGTTGTTGGGAGTACTTCCGTTGAAAACCTACTAGGTTATACCTACTCTACCCGTAGTTTTCTTTGGGGGGGGGGGGCTAGAAATACACCTAGACCTAATTTCCCCCCGTTTTTTAGGGATTTTAATTGAAGCAAATATGTAAACCCAGTAAAAATATAGTGGACTTGAATGAATACAGGTTCCGTTGGGAGATGACAATAAATAGTGTTTCCAGTAGTTTGCTAGTTTGTATGGCTCCAGAGTTGCTGCTCTGGAAATCACAGAGTTCCTTCCATTGGGGAATGTTGTTGCTTGAGAAAGCGAGGATGGTGGAGTCCCTCTAAGATGACTGGAAGATTTTTGGTAATACCGTATGTGTTGCTTGCACTGTTGCTTGTACTTGCTCGCACTATTTGCTTGTACGGGTGTGGATTGAGGTGTGGATGCAGGTGTGAATCACCTTTTGCATACAGAACTCTTCTGAGTACAGACTCTAAACTACTGCCGGTTTTGTACCTATTATTTTGTGTTTTTGCCAGCAAGTGTCTATGTCACCAGGTTTTATTGAATGATTTCTCTGGAGGGATTTGGATTGGCTTACCTGAGAGATGTGAGTTGCTCAAGTTCACCCCGTGGGTTTCTATTATTCGAATTCACTAATCAAACCATTGCAGTGTACTGGCTCAGAAATGTCTTGTGCGCATTGTCAAGTGACCCCTTGACTCATGATGACCCCATGAATTTCACAGGATTTTCTTTGGCAAGAAATCTTCACAGGTGGTTTTGTCATTTTCTTCCTGTAGCTTTCCAGATCGGATGACACCTGGTGCCTTCAGAGTATTTAGGTTCTTCAGTGTTGTCTTCTTATATGTAATTTCAGATGGAGAACAAAACAAAATCTGGATTATTGCTTCCTCATGATGTATGCTCAGAAAAAGGGCATTTACTACATCCAGGTAAGCTGTCTTTATGTATGGAATGGTGAAATGAATAGCCAAAGACTAGCTAAGAACTTGTAATAGTAAACATGATATAAGTACAGATCTTTAAGTCAGATATATGGGAACAAATGACTTGTTACATAGAATGACTAGAGACGGGATTTCCAACTTTTGGTTCTCCAGATTTAGACATCACCTCCCTTGCCATGGACTATGCTGGTTGGTGTTCCTAGAGGCTGAAGTCCAAAACCCTTAAATGACCAGAAGTTGAAAAACGTGGGCCTAAAGAGACTGTGGACCCTTCCACACAGCCACATAACCCGGAATATCAAGGGGAAAAAATCCCACAATATCTGCTTTGAACTAGGCTATCTGAATCCACACTGTAGAAAACCTGAGATCAGATCCTGGGATATAGGGCCTGTCTGGAAGGGTCCTTAGATCCCAGAAGTTGCTGACCATTGTCTTTGCTATCTGAGTCTTTTGGGAATTGAAATCCAAAACCTAACAAAAGCATGAATGATTCAGAATTGAGAAAGAACAACTCCCAGCTCTGTTCTGGATTTCTCAGGGCAAAGCCAAGGCAGTGTTTAAAAGTTCAGAAACATCCATAATGGTTAAGGTCATGCTTCATAAATATTTCTTAGCTTCTCATCTGTGACTGCAATAAATCAAAGTAAAAAGGAGAAAGATCTGCATGCTTAGTCTCATGCAGTATTAAGTAGTTGACACTAATTCAGTGTAACTAATTTGCTCACATAAAATGAAGCAACTCTGTCGATTCTTAATTGAATGGGGTTTAGGTTTACTTTTTGTATCTCTGGCTTACGTTCTGTACCATCAAAATAAATGTGAAATCTTGAGTGGTATTTTCAGAAACAAGGAGATTTTATAGCCACCAGAAAGGAAAGTGGGACAAAGGGGAAGAGGAGAAGATCACAAGTTTTAAAAAATGAGATAATATAGGCAAATCCATGCTGGATCAAACTGAAGGCTTATTCCATCCAACTTCCTACTGTGGGCAACCAGATGCCTGCAGAGTTAAGAAGAATTTCAGCAATGACTGCAGTTAACCATTTAGCTACTTATGAAGACAATTGCAAAATAATATCTAAAATATGATAAAATTGATTAAGACATAATATTCATATATCAAGGAAAGGAAAAATATATGAGACCCAATTAAACAGACACAAAGATGGTTATAAACTTTGGGGTGTTTTTGATTGGTCATTTCTGAGGAGGGGAGGGAGGGCCTAGAAGGACTTGGCGGTCCCGATATTTGGAGCCTAAAGTTTACCTTTAGGATAGGCTCAACTCCCCATCCCCAATTCCAATTCCCATTGGTTAGAATTCAAACACATAATTGTGTCAGTCTGGAATATCGGTATGCAAAGCAGTCCCGTAACATCTGAGAGAGCAAAGTTGGTAGCATAACCTTTCCTAGATTATGGGTGCATCTACACTGTAAAATTAATGTAGTTTGGCACTTTAACTGATATGGCTCAATGCTATGGGAATTGTAGTTTAGTGAATTTTATTTGTTTATTTAAAGCATTTATATTCCGCCCTTTTCACCCCAAAGGGGACTCAGGGCAGAGTACAACATATAAACGGCAAACATTCAATGCTGAAACATACTAGACTATACACATACAAAAACATTAAAATCACTTATCTTGATGTTAAAATCCTCTGTAAAAACTGTTTCAAACCACCATATCAAATCTGGTTGGCATACTAAGAGTTCCTGTCGCTGCCTTGTTACAAAGTCCCAAAGGCTCAGCCCCACAGCCAAGTTTTTATCATCCTAAAGGACAGGAGAGAGGAAGGGAGTTCCATAGCCGAGGAGCAATCACTCTTGTCCCTGCCAGTCGTACCTGAGAAAGTGGTGGGCCTCCCTGGAAGATCTTAATCTCCGTGGTGGTTCGTAGAGGGAGGAAGAGACTTGTGGGCCATCCAGTTCAACCCCCTGCCAAGAAGCAGGAAAATCGCATTCAAACAATTATCACTTTGAACTTTGTGAAATTAAAACTCCCACGATTCATGGCACTGAGCTATGGTAAATGAAGTGGTGTCAAACTGCATTAATTCAAAAGCGTAGATGGACCCTTAGGTTTCTTTCCCAGATGGCACTGTTTCATCAATAGTCCTCCTTCTAGTAATGAGCCTCCCTGCCTTCTCATAAGTTGGCAGACACACAATCTGCCACCAGAGGTCTGTTCAAGTTTTGCCCGTCATGGTAGAATGTGCCAGTTCCCTGCCATAGATGTTGGGTATCTTCACACCACAGTTAAGTAGGGAAAGTCATACCGTTTAAAGCAGTGGTTCTCAACCTGTGGGTCCCCAGGTGTTTTGGCCTACAACTCCCAGAAATCCCAGCCAGTTTACCAGCTGTTAGGATTTCTGGGAGTTGAAGGCCAAAAACATCTGGGGACCCCAGGTTGAGAACCACTGGTTTAAAGGATCTCTGATTAATGAGTGTTCTGCTTTGTCCTAATATCTGTTAGTAATACTTTTTTACAAGATTGGGAAGATCCTGGTAAAAAGCACTTCGGTAGCAATAATCCAGATTCATGTTGAGAGACTGTATTTCTGTGCACCAAAAATGCATCATATTGGATAATGTCAAAATGTGTCTTTCTCATTTAATATCTGGATAAACAACATGATCATATATGGACCTCGTATTTGTGCAATCATGGTATTGTTTATCCACATCCAACAAAATATGAGTTTTCTAGTGTCTCTGTGATAATCTTGAGTTGGAAATCCTTCGTTTCGATAGGGTTCACTATTATCCACAGTTATATGGATACATGCAAACTTCATGAATGTATCCTCAGCAGTTGTGGGGGTCATAATGTAAATCTTGGAAATGTATGTTTTTATCTTACCAATCTTATCTTTTTAAAAATTGAAATGAAAAGTTTTTATGAGACATGAGTACATCCCATTGAGTTCATGGAACTTAGACACTTCCTAGGTAGCATAAATTAGCAGCCTAAACTGCTCAAAATAATAATAAAAGCAGGACGATGCATTCCCTTCTCATTTTGCATTTACAAATGCCTTTATAGTAAGTGCACCTGAGGCGAATAGGATGAGCTGAAATGTATGTTGAAGCTTGAAGTGTGGTTTGCCTGTTCCAGCCTCTCCTTACTTCCTTTCTTCTTTGTTTTGCTGCCCTTGCTGCTTGTTCCCTTAGCTTGAGGATGACATCGTTGTCAAGCAGAATTACTTCAGCACAATAAAAAATTTTGCACTTCAGTTGTCATCTGAAGACTGGATGATTCTAGAATTTTCTCAGCTCGGATTCATTGGTAAGAACCATTCCTCTTCAGCAGACTTGAAAAGGGAATGAAAGGGATGCATTTGCCACCTAATAGTCCCCGAGACACCATTCGCAAAAATAGGTTACTTTTTAAATTTCCGGTGCAATTTTCTATGTCAGGTGGGTATATGTCAAATGTTGTGATAGAATGAGCTGCTGCAAAATAGAGTTGCATAATCACCGCAAGAGCCAACCCGAAACATGACAAATTTCTAAAGCTTGACTAGATGACAGAGAGAGCTTCAGTTCATGGAAACAGCAGGCTGCATGAAAAGTAGTGTTCTCTTGGGAACTATCAATACCAGTTATTTTTTCTATTAAACCTTTCCCTTTGTGTGTTAATAGAAACTATGGTTTTAAGGAAGAAAAGATAGCCCCTACCCTTTTTCTGATATAACTGTTTTTTGGGTTTTTAAAGAAGCATTATAATTTTGCATCTTGATTATAATTTCACATATTGATTCTAGGAGCTGCGGTGGCACAATCGGTTAAACCAGAGGTCCTCAAACTTTTTAAACAGAGGGCCAGGTTACAGTCCCTCCAACTGTTGTAGGGCCGGATTATAATTTGAAAAAAAAATGAATGAACTCCTATGCACACTGCACATTATCTTATTTGTAGTGCAAAAACACTTTAAAAATACAATAATTAAAATGAAAAACAATTTAAACAAATTTAAACTTATTAGTATTTCAATGGGAAGTGTAGGCCTGTTTTTGGCTGAAGATTGTTGTTGTTGTGTGCTTTCAAGTCATTTCAGACTTAAGTTGACCCTGAGTGAGGGCCGGGTAAATGACCTTGGAGGGCCGTATTCAGCCCACAGGCCTTAGTTTGAGGACCCCTGGGTTAAACCATTGTGCTGGCTGAACTGCTGATCTGAAGGTCGGCGATTCTAATCTATGAGATGGGATGAGCTCTCATCTGTCAGTTCCTGCTCCCCATGTGGAGACACGAGAAAAGCCTCCCACAGGATGGTAACGCGTCCCCTGGGCAACATCTCTGCAGACAGCTAATTCTCTCACACCAGATGCGACTTGCAGTTATCTCAATTAAAAAAATCTTGATTTTGAATGCCATATCTGGTGCGATGAAGATGTTTAACTTTTTAAACTCATTAGTATTATATCTTTACTGTCAGCTGGAGAAATAAATGCTTTTCATATCTCCTGCCTTGGGATAAAATTACCTGACTGTCTTTGGAAATTCCAATGCCTGCTACTTAAAACAGGTGTTTCTTGTGACTCCTTAAGAGTCCCTGAAGATGCAGCAAGTCACTTCACCAGACAAAAACTGGACTCCTTGAAAGAGAAATAATAATAATAATAATAATAATAATAATAATAATAATAAGAATAAGAATAATAATAATTATTATTTTGGGTTGTTGTAGGTTTTTCATTCTATATGGGCATGTTCTAGAAGCATTCTCTCCTGACGTTTCGCCTGCATCTGTGGCAAGCATCCTCAGGAACCTCTGACGATGTTTGTCACAGATACAGGTGAAACGTCAGAAGATAATGCTTCTAGAACATGGCCATACAGCCCGAAAAATCTACAGCAACTCAGTGATTCTGGCCATTAAAGTCTTCGACAATACAATAATAATTTTATTTCTTACCATCTCTCTTCATGGCTCGAGGTGGGTACAGAACAATTAAAACACATAAGCACAGCAAATACACCACAAATACACCTACCTCTATATAAGTTACACGTCCAAATGTATCTTTATAAAATAAATATTAAAATACACAAAACAGAGATTAAACAAAGGAGACACATTAAAAATTCATGTTTAAAGACTCTCTGGGTAGGCCTGCTGGAAGAAATAGGTCTTTACATTGTTTTAAACTTCTGACAGCTCATTTCAGAGTTCTTCCAGCAAGTCATTCCACAGTCATGGGGTGGCCGATGAAAAGGTCCTCTAAGTGGTAGTTGCCAGTCGGGTTCTGTCTGGGTAAAGCAGAGCCCCCCATAAGACCGAAGTGTTTGGGGCGGATTGTACAGGAGAAGGCAATCCTGTAGGTAACCTGGACCCAAACCATGTAGGGCATTAAAGTTCAAAACCAACTCCTTGTACTTTGCCCAAAAACTAATTGGCAGTCAGTGGAGTGACTTTAGGATAGAGGTAATATGTTCACTCCTAAATGTTCCTGTGAGCAATCTGGCTGCTGTATTTTGAACCAGCTGGAGTTTCCAAACTTGGTACAAGGGTAGCCCAATGTAAAGTGCTTTGCAGAAGTCCAACCTTGAGGCTTGCACTACCAATACAGTATATCTTCCACATTTGTGGATTTGATTATTCGTGGATTTAATTAAAATGTTTTCTCTTAGAGTCTCTAGTTCTCCAGTGTGACTCTATGGTTAACACCCACTGGAAGCCAATCGCAAAGTCACATTGGGAGGCCAAAAGACTCCTTAGAGCAGTGATTCTCAACCTGTGGATCCCCAGATGTTTTGGCCTTCAACTCCCAGAAATCCTAACAGCTGGGATTTCTGGGAGTTGTAGGCCAAAACACCTGGGGGCCCACAGGTTGAGAACCACTGCCTTAGAGAGAATACCTGGTTATGAATCTCTAGACCCTCCAGTGCAATTCTGTGGTCAATTTTTGGCAGATATTGACAAGTGGAATATGATTTTCATTACAGATTATGGGGGCTAAATATTCATTTTAAAATATTTTAAAATTATGGCTAGATACGTGAGAAAAAAATGACACATTTAATTTAAAATACCTAAGCAGTAGAAGGAAGAAACATGGCAGTACTGTCCCTGGCTCTTCAGTTCTCTTGCCCTGCTGTCTTTCTAAGGCTGTTATTCCCCCATGGATTTTTTTGAATGCCACCTTTCTTTTCCCTGTGATTAGCAGTGTTATACACAAAGGACAGTCCATCAGATGAGTCTCAGTTTGATGTCTGAGTGATAGATACTATGGTATCTTGTCTCTTCAGGGATTTCTGTTAATATTTTATTCAGTCTCACAAAAGCAAAGCGGCAGTCTGTTTTTATATGATAAAGCCCTGGATTATTGTTGACACAACTTCCTATTATTTGCAGGTAAAATGTTTCAGTCTCCAGATATTACACTCATTGTAGAGTTCATATTTATGTTTTATAAAGAGAAACCTATTGACTGGCTCTTGGATCACATTCTTTGGGTGAAAGTTTGCAACCCTGAGAAGGATGCAGTAAGTTTTAAATTTTTTTATGTTTCCAAAAAAGCATAACTATGGGCAAATGCATTAAGAGGAGAGCAAGCGCCTTCTTCTCTTCAACACCATTACTATAATTCATAGCCAGGTGATGCTAAAGGAAACAGGGCTTGTTTTATGACACCAAAAGGGTTTACAGTGGAGTTCAACAAACATAGCAAACAGAAGTGTAAATGTGTGTAGGTCCTATATTTATATATTACTATATTTATATATTACTATATTTACAGTTCTATGAATATGGAAACCAAGTATTGTAGGGTGGATGGATTAAAAAAAACCCAACTCCAGTTGTGCCTGTGAAGATGGTGTGATCTCTAACATAACAGGGGCATCAGTTACTAGTCACAAAAGAATTCTGGTTTAGCTCCTCTTCTCATTCAGATAGTCTTCCTAGAGCATTGTACTGAAGTGTGATTGTTGAATGCAGTAGTGGACTTTTCCAGTTACTTTAGATTTTGCAGCCTACTGTGTCTCTTCTGTATTCCTTGGCTTGACTGGAAATTGTCCCATTTCATTGGACAATTGCATCCATGGATTCTGCATTCATAGATTCAATCATCCATGGGTTGAAAATATTTCCAAACAATTTCCAAAAAGCAAAACCATGATTTTGCTGTTTTACTACACCATTGTATATATTAGCACTTGAGCATACATGGATTTTGGTATCCACACAGGTCCTGGAACCAAACCCCAGTGAATAGCAAGGGCCCACTGTATTACATTATCCTGCAGTTTACTTCAGTGGTCTTCAAATCAGAAAGTGCTGAGCTTTTTGTTAATGTATCTCATGCATTTTGGACATACATTCTGCAAATAGAAAATGCTCCTCTCTCTCTAGTCCAGTGGTTCTCAACCTGTGGGTCCCCAGATGTTTTGGTCTTCAACTTCCAGAAATCCTAACAGCTGGTGAACTGGATGGGATTTCTGGGAGTTGTAGGCCAAAACACTTGGAGACCCATAAGTTGAGAACCACTGCTCTAGTCTTTGGGAGGTGGCACTCTGTTCCTGCTGGCATTTTTGGAGTTTACAAATCTGAGGTCATTTTGGAAGCTAGTGGGGGAAAAAATTAAAATCAACAATAGTGGCAACAAAAATATTCACATAGAAGTAAAAATCTTCATATTAGAAATATGAATTTGAATATCCAGTTAGAATTGTCAAGCCAATTTGTAAGAACGAGAAAGTTACATGATATTTTGAGGATGTTGTTGTTTTTGTATTTTTAAATGAATAGTTTGGCTTTCTTAAAAGGACAGGCTGTAACTGCAAATTGAAAGAGCAATATCTGGACATTGAAAAGTTATTTTTCACACTGTTGACCTTTTGCTGGACCTAGTGACACCTAGCCCAGAGGTTTCAGTTTATATCTTTTGCAGTGACAATGTGCTTTTTTAATTGCCAGATAGAACAGCCAGTCTATGAAATATTGACCTCTTAGATCAAAGAAATGGTTTAGATAAATCTGGGGTTAAGGTCATGGTAGCTGAGCTTAAGAGCATAATGTTCTGTGCTACTAACAAACACCCCGTCCCATCCCGATTTTAAAATTATTCTTGCTTCTTTCACTTTCATTTAAGAAACATTGTGATCGACAAAAGTCAAATCTGCGAATACGCTTCCGACCTTCACTTTTCCAACATGTGGGTCTACACTCCTCTCTTGCAGGAAAGATTCAAAAACTAACAGTGAGTACTCGGGATGTATTTTTCCTTCACAGCATGAGGTGTTTACAGTGTACATTCATCTGTCTTGTGTAATTAAAGTGTTTTAAAGTGCAAAGCAGACTTGTATCTTGTTTAATTAAAACAACATTTGTTGTAGCATATGGAGAACTCACATAATAAAGCAATTGGTCTTGAAATTCCATTCCACTTAAAATAGCGCCAAGTAGGCCAGTAGCAGGAAGGCATTAAAGCCATGTTGGGAATCATAAAGCCTCCGGGTGCTGTTGGACTGCATCTCTTAGCATTCTTCTCCACTGGTTATGCTGGCTAGACTTGATGCGAAAACGTCCAGAGTCACGTTTACTGTATTTAATCTTCTATGTGGCTATCTAAAGAACTTATTAATAACAGCTCCAAGAATGACAAAAGAACAGCTGTGCTACAGATAAAGTTTTCAAGGTGTTTTGAGAAAATGTTAAATTATTCTTCATAAAAACCTCTTGAGACCATTTTTCACTGCAGTTTGCCTAAGCTGGATTGGTGGTGAAATATTGCTGCAGGCGTGTTTTATCTAGAGGAGTTTAGTGTCTCCTTGAAATACATTGAGAACCATGCCTATCATTCTATTTTTGTTTTCAGGCTATCGTTGTATATTTTTGTCTTTTAGGATAAAGATTTCCTGAAACCATTATTGCATAAAATCCATGTGAATCCACCGGCAGAAGTGTCGACAACATTAAAGGTCTATCAAGGACATGCTCTTGAAAAAGCCTACATGGGTGAAGATTTTTTTTGGGCTGTTACACCAGTTGCTGGAGATTATATTCTATTAAAATTTGACAAACCTGTCAATATAGAAAGGCAAGTGTTTTGTTTTTAAACTTAAAAAATTACAGAATTGCACGTTCATTTGTGATATCAGTGGTTTTAGCAGTATCAACAATAATTGTTGAAGTGGTGGCTTGATTGAATGGAACAATTTTGCTTCTAGAATATTTTTCCTTAAGGTCATTTTGGTATTTTCCTATCAGCTCCCAGACCAAACAAACAGCCCCAACACATATTTTGATGCTTTCAATTTAGTGAAACTACTAGCAGGCTGCCTCTCTGCAAAGAGACTCCTGTGGCGGAATGAAAAACCACATGTAGTTCACGTCTTTACCAATCCACACGCTGTCTTGCCAGAGAAAAGATATGTCACACAGATGATCAGTAAAGAATAAGGTGTTATGCAGTGCAACATATATACAGTCATGAGAACAGTTGCATTGACTCACACAATGTTGTTTGAAAGAGATTCAAATGGTCCTTGGATGTCCATTTGAGAGATCTTCCAGCAGCCAAGAAGCAAAAATACAAAACTGTCTTAGCAAGCTCCTGCACAGAAAACTTAAACATGTAACTGTTGCCAAAACTCCCAAGCTCAGCTAGCTCCTGAGCATAGCCCAACCAATCAGCTTCGTGCTTTGCATTTTTCAGTGAACACACTCACCAACTGATTTTTACATGCTTGGCTTTTCCAAAACTCTGAGACAAGGCCATTGAAAATGGCAGTATACTAACCTTTAAGATCCTACATGTAGAAACTTAATGTGTACCATAGTGGTATTAGAAAGCACACCTTGCTATGTGTTAATCAGACCTGTTTTAGGATTGAGATGTGTTCTAAGGGTGTAGTAAAGTGATTTATGCTTGTTTTGCTCATGTGGCTTCTTCCATTATTCTGTTTTAAAACTTTAGATACAATTAGTCTTGCATACTGGGCTATTTCTTTTGAATCAGTGCTAAAGATTTAATTTTAGCTAGGATTTTGTTTTGCTAAGGATTAAGTGAAGGAAGGAATAGTGGGATGTTCATTGGAAAGCTGTTATTTGTGTTAATACTTTCATATGCAGAGATACCACCTAGTGGCATAATAACCTGATTTCTCTCAGCATCTTAGAAGTAAATGCTAAATAAATTTGTGGATGGATATGTAAGTATTTTTTAAATTAACTACCTTAAATGGAACAGCATAAATGCATCCGTGCACAATACCCAGCTACTAGTATGTTGATTCACAAGCATAACTTCAGTATAGAAAAATAGATTTTATACATAAAATAATACAGCAATGACATTATTTATTTATTTATTTATTTATTTCGAGGTTTTATATACCGACCCTCTCACCTTCAAAGAGGGATTCGGACCGGTTCACAACATGTGTTAACATACAAAAAAATACAATAACAACACAATGCCACTTCATTACACGATTAAAATATCAGCACCATACACATTAAAACATTATCATCACAGTTAAAAGAGCCAAATCGCCCGACACCATCACAATCCCATTCATCATCCTCCTTTCATGTGGGCAAAGAATTAAATCAGTTGTCAAATGCCGCGTTCCACAACCAGGTCTTTGTTAGTTTCCTGAACGTCATGAGGGAGGGGCAGTTCTGATCTCTAATGGCAGGGAGTTCCAAAGTCGAGGGGCCACCATCGAGAAGGCCCTGTCCCTCGTCCCCACCAGCCGTGCTTGTGCAGGCGGAGGGACCGAGAGCAGGGCCCCTCCAGACGATCTTAGTGGTCTTGATGGTTCGTAGGGGAGAATACGTTGGAGAGGTAAACAGGGCCGGAGTCGTTTAGGGCTTTATAGGTTAACACCAGCACTTTGAATTGTGCTCGGAAGCTAATCGGCAGCCAGTGGAGTTCGAGTAACAGCAGAGTGGTGTGCTCCCTGTAACCCGCACCCGTTAGTAATCTGGCTGCCGCGCGTTGTACTTGCTGCAGCTTCCGGGCAGTCTTCAGAGGCAACCCCATGTAGAGAGCGTTGCAGTAATCTAAGCGGGATGTAACCAAAGCGTGTACTACCGTGGCCAAGTCAGCCCTCCCAAGGTACGGACGCAGCTGGCGCACAAGTTTTAATTGTGCGAATGCTCCCCTGACCACCGCTGAAACCTGGGGTTCCAGGCTCAGCGATGAATCCAGGAGAACTCCCAGACTGCGTACCTGTGCTTTTAGGGGGAGTGTGACCCCGTCCAGCACAGGCTGTAACCCCGTACCCTGTTCGGTCTTACTACTGACCAGGAGTGCCTCTGTCTTGTCTGGATTTAGTTTCAATCTGTTGTCCCTCATCCAGTCCGTGACAGCGGCCAAGCACCGGTTCATGACCTGAACAGCCTCTACATACTATGACATACTATGGGATACTCTGTGTGTGTGTGTGTATGTGTGTGTGTATAGAGAGAGAGAGGGACAGGAAAGTCCTATCTGACTTTGTAAACCAAGCAAGGTCAGTGCTAGCTAATGTTTGAAAGGGAGACAGTCAATGGTAGGTTATATTTCAGGTGAAGGAGCTGGAGAAAATCACCTTGTGGGACTTCCTTCGGTAACAGCTTCTGACTCCCCCTCCACCCCCCAAAGAACGCTGGGCTCCCCAAGTCTTCCATTAGGCTTCAGCTGCTGCTTCCCACCCTCCCCCTCCCCTCCCTTCCTGGCTGGGCTTCAGAAGAAGTCTAACCTTGGGGCAAGGAGACAGAAAATCTTTTAAAATCAAGTAGCTTCTCTTGTGTCTTTTCCTCTCTTTTTCCCCAATGGCTGCGGTGTGTTTGCAAACCTCACAGCGCTCGGAAGCAACTTCCCCTTTGACTTTGCCTCAGCACTTAGGGTAGATTACTGTAATACTCCATACTAATGTGCATCCCAATTTTGGCCATGTGTTTTAGCCAAAAAAGATGCACACTAGATTCAAGAAAATACGGTATTCCTGTGGGAATGTATAGAAACTTTTATTTTTTATCTATGTATTATTGTCCAAGTCTTCTGAGATTTTCTGGAACCATCAGGAGCAAAGTTAGAGTAATGTTCAGATCTCTGGTACCTCATGGATTATTGTCATTGTCATCTTGTTTTTCGCACCTGTTTCTCTAGCTCCTGTAGTGTTGCTTCCACCCCTATTACCAAATAAGAGTGGGTGCCAGTATCTACTCAGATGCCCTTTTGACCTGCCTTTGTTTCATTCGAGGTCACTTAGTGGAAACAGGAAAATTAGTGAGAGTTTCAAGTAGCCAGATCTTTTACTATTTATTTCTATAGTAAGAAAAATAATATATTTCTTCATATGGTCATTCTTTCTGGAGCACATAATACATCAGTTGTAAGACTTGGTTCAATTCATCAAACATAGACTCATGTAATTATTTTTCAGTTAAGTTCAGGTTTGGTATACTGGAAAGTTGTGTCTTTTAATTCTCTTCTGGCCAGTATCCAGAATGAATATTGTGTTACCTACACTCTGTTTTTGAGTTAGGAGTCCAAAATCTCAGTGGCAAAATCTCAGAATTTCCTTTTCAAAAAGTTGCACCTGAAAAAACAACTTCAGACCCCCTTTTTTTGTTTGGCTTGCTCTCAAACTAAGCTGAAAGTGTTATACAATGGAGGAAGAATGTGTGAAACTATTCATTTTGTTTAATGAGTTTAAATATGTAAAAGAAATTGACAGGAAGGGGGCATAGTTTGAAATGAAAAGTGTCAGGGAAATAAAGTTTATAAGTTAATTGACCTAATGTGCTGTTGAAGGCTTTCATGGCCGGAATCACTGGGCTACTGTGAGCTTTCTGGGCTGTATGGCCATGTTCCAGAAGCATTCTCTCCTGACGCTTTGCCCACATCTAAAGCTGCAAGGCTATTAAATGCTATTCAAGGTGGCCAGTTGCAACATTCACACTTGCCTCAAGCAGACAAAAGTCCCCCCCGCCCGGACATTCCACAGGTATGTAAACCCCACTTGCCTAGTTTCCAACAGACCTTGCAACCTATGGGGCTGCCTGCTTTAGATGTGGGAAAACATTAGGAAAGAATGCTTCTGGAACATGGCCATACAGCCCAGAAAACTCACAGCAACCCAGTGATTGACCTAATGTTTACAGGTGTGGTGTTCTCTTAGGGGGAAAATAAAAACATTAACAAGATAAGCCTTTTATTAAAGACTAGAAAAAGTTGCAAAGTGGCCAACAAACCTGTAAAACTGTCAGGCTGCACACCGTTATTAAACAAATGTAGAAATGCACAATACATAAGCAAACTTTGTTTCCATGGCTCATGAGATTGTATGCCCAGGACAGGTAGCTGTGGTGTTGGCCTGGGAGGCAGACCCATGTTGCATGTTTCTTGTGTGCATCCCATCTGACATTCTAGGGATCTGACACTGATTTGGGACATGTAACTTATGGTTATCTGTCGATGTCTGCTATGATTGCTTTGATAGTTGCATACAAGAGCAGTTTTGCCATAGTTCATGTTCTCTTTTTAATATGTGTGTGTGTGTGTTTGGTGGCACTTCTTTGTACTCCTGCCTGGGAAATAAGCTGCATTGAACCCAGTGAGAGCTTCTAGGCCAGTAGTTCTCAACCTGTGGGCCCTCAGGTGTTTTGGCCTACAACTCCTAGAAATCCCAGCCAGTTTACCAGCTGTTAGGATTTCTGGGAGCTGAAGGACAAAACATCTGGGGATCCACAGGTTGAGAACCGCTGTTCTAGGTGATGTGTATGTGTTTCTATTCTTCTGTACTTGCTGTACCCTAGTATTAGTCTTATTAGCCTGTTGAATCAAAAAACAGCAAATTGTCTTGGATCACTTTTAAGAAATTCTGAGTATCAAACATAGTGTGGAATAAGGTTGAATGGTCTGCACCCCACTTTGCCTGATGCTGTGTAATCCACAAAAGTTTATACTATAATAAATTTGTGTGATTTTTTTGTATTTGTATTTGTTAGCCATGGCTCAACATTGTCTTTTTTCACATCAACAGATACTTGTTTCACAGTGGCAACCCAGAACACCCAGGGGATGTATTTGTCAACACAACTGTGGAAGTGTTGCCTTTTAAGGTATGAACAGAGAGAGGTCATAAAAATAAATTTATTTATCGTGTCATCAGCAACCAGACCATTGTATTACATTTCTAACAGAACAAAACAAACAAACAAACAGATAAAACAGCACAAATTTTGCAAGCTTGGTAGTTGATTAAATGTCCTTTGACCAGTATCTGGCCACTTGGAGTGCCTCTGGTGTTGCCGCAAGAAGGTCCTCCATTGTGCATGTAGCAGGGCTCAGGTTGCATTGCAGCAGGTGGTCAGGGGTTTGCTCTTCTCCACACTCGCATGTCGTGGATTCAGTTTTGTAGCCCCAATACCTTTTACCTAATACTGATGTTGGATATGAGAGAAGGTGGTTTCCTGTTGTTCTCAGAATCACAATTGTCTAATATATCATCAAGTACTGTCATCTTTCAAAAGACAGGTGATGAAATAAGCAAGGCTAGGAAAAGATGATTTATAGAACATGATGGGGACAAAAACATATTTGCTATCATTAACACAGTGTTGGATTTATCCCAGTGGCCCAGTTGCAAATTAATAACTATCCACGCTAAAGTGTATCTGCTTAATATGTAACAAGTGGGTTTCAGAAGAGGGTTTTATTTCATTGCTTTTTGTACATATGTACATGGTGCATAGCTTTTCTGCCTCGCTCTACAACTGTTCCCTTCTTCTGTAGCATTCTTGAACCCATGTGCTGCCAAACATCCTTTTCATGGATCTTTAATGCTCAAATATACCATCTGTGCTTTGATAGGACACTCAAGACTTTTTGGGTATTGGTACAAGGCAGGTCACAAGCACCAGTGATGCATATATTCCCTTCCACTTCTGCTTAATATATTCTTAGTCATTCAGTGCCATGAGTGTGAAAGGCATTCAGGGAAACACAAAGGTAATTCCCTGCCTTCAAGGAGGTTACTATACAAAAGAAGGTAAAAATAGGGGATAACAGCAGGGGAAATGTATATCTAGTTCAGTCACTCTTGTTTATGCTGCAGTCCTAGACAGTATATCGAGCTGGACACATCTGGGCTTGAGATTGATTTCAGTTCCCCAACATCCCAGGGGACCATGGTGGGGACATAACACACTAATGTGACATAACCTATTTCCTACCATTATGTCTGTGTATTAAATCACATGTTCCTAAATGCCGGTAACGTTTCTTTGCAAAACCCATTTATTGAATCCTCTAACTAGCAGAGCCAGTGGTCATCCTGGCTGAGGCATTCTGGAGGGGATATTTGAAAAAATGACTTTCCCAAGTTCTGCTTATTGAAAACTGACCCTGCCATTTCACTTACACAATGTCTTGCTTTAAACGGCATCCACTAAAGGAAGAGGCAGGTTCGATTCAACATATAAGTGTGGAATCACAGAGCCTAATGTGTGCTGAATCTTAATGCATGATAATAAGAAGCTGGTCTTACATTTTCCCATCTTGTTTCAGACTGAAGAGCTTGAGTTAAGCAAAGAAACCAAAGAGAAGCGATTAGAAGATGGATATTTCAGAATAGGTAACTGTGATGGATCTCCTTTCCAGGCTGACCTTGCCGTTCCAAGCTTTTGAGCTCCTATTACTCCCCTTTTCCCTCAAGCTCCCTCTCTGGCCTTCAAGGCGATCCCTT